TGAGGCAGGAGAATTGCCTGAACCCAGGAGGCGGAGGTTGCGGTGAGCCGAGATTGCACCATTGCACTCCAGCCTGGGTAACAAGAGCGAAACTCTGTCTCAAAAACAAACAAACAAACAAACAAACAAACAAAAAAAACAAAACCCACAAAGGATCTGGACATGCAAGAATGAAATGGAGAAGATGAAGGGCAAGTTCACTTATCAGAAATGATCCCACAGAAACGGCATGCTGAGAAGGATGGTGAGAGAGGGAATGACCTGGAACCTAGAAAGGAAGATGAGGCAGAGAGGGAGGAAGGAGTGGGATTCTGACCACTAGAGAAGAGGTGAATGACCTCTGAGCTTAGAAGATGGGAAGCACAGGTGAGAAGGCTATGGAGCACTGCACAGAAAAGATTTAACAGGGCAGGTCTGAGACCACCATTCTTAGGAGAGGCCTGTTCACAAGGCTGGCCCTTGGTTGCAACTGGGAATTTGGATTTGGGGATAGTTTCCCCCCACCCTAACTGATGCGAGTGGTTTACTGTACCCACACTGCGCACACTATGTGGTTTATTCCAAACACTGGCTTTCTCTTGGTAGTCTGGAACCTTCGTCTGTACTAGATTAGTGTCTTTATGACCAGCCTCTGTCAAAATTCCTGGCACTGAATATCTCACAAGTTTCCCTGGTGGAGTTCATGTCTCATAAGGTGTCACAACTGTGTGCTGGGGGAGCCTGGCACATCCCAGTTGACTCCACAGTTAGGGAACTCTGGAGGCTCATGCCTGGCTTCCTCTGGACTTATCCCCATGCACCTTTCCCCTTTGTTGGTCTCACTATACTCAGAGCTGTCAGCATGACTCTAAGCTGAGTCCTGTGTACTCCTAGTGAATGGGGTGTTCTTGAGGACCACCAGCCACCACCCTTTCCATGAAGTGCATCTCCAGTAATCTGCTGGGCTGCTCCCATGAGTTGCTCCCACATAGTGGTTGCTCACCTGGATAGTAGCCCTGGGTGATTCCTCTCTCTGTCACCCATGGTTCAGTCCCTTGCTCCAGGTGGGAGATGACTTCAGGCTTCGGAAGCTCAGGACCTGGAAATGGGGAAAAACACAGGAGGTAGGGGTCTGCTCTGGAGAGAAAGAACCAGCTCAGGCTCTAGACCAGACTCCTTCCTGACTGTGAAGACGTGGGTACCTCACAACACGGTGAAGCTCTGCACTGGCATGGAAAAGGGCAGATGTCCCTCTTCATGCATTCCCCATAGGGAGTGAGGACCCAAGGTCACATCCTCACACCGAGGCCCCATGACTTATAACCCAGGAAAAATCAGTTATCACAGCTTGCAAAGCAGGTCTTACCTATGGAGAGCAGGTGCCCAAAGGTCTCCAGCATCACATCACGGTAAAGGATTCTCTGGGTAGGGTCCAGCTGCCCCCACTCCTCCTGGGTAAAGTCCACAGCCACATCCCGGAAGGTCACCGGTTCCTGAAACATCACACACATTCTCAATCAGCTGGACTATCTCCATCAGTACTTTCGGACAGAAGAAGAATGGAAAAAGAGAAAATAAGCAGGCCAGTGTCACGAGAGACTACAAGTTATGAATGATGGGAGTCGGTCTCACTGGGCACCTATTAGGCCACTACACATAAGTGTGTGTTGTATGGCGAGAACATGTGAGAGGATTCACCAAGATCAACACAGCCAAACAGCGATGACCTACATCTGCTAAGACAGAGGAGTGTACCAGCAGAGACTGGGCTAAACCACTGATTTGAAGGTTTGTGAGCTAAAGAAACAGATACTGTTTTAGGACAGTGTGTAACACAGCAGCAACTAACTAAATACACTCACTAATCCTTAGATACAAAGTGAAATGCCTGTAATCCCAGCTACTTGGGAAGCTAAGGCAGGAGAATTGCATGAGTCTGGGAGGCAGAGGATGCAGTGAGCTGAGATTGTACTACTGCACTCCAGTTGGGATGACAGAGAGACTCCATCTCAAACAAAACAAACAAAACAAAACAGTGAGGTTCACCATCCTTCCTGAAAAGAGGAGTTCAAGGGGTTGGGATCAGAATTTCACCCCTTCAGGTGAGGCAGGCTCACATGACGGAAGTGGGCCAGTTTAAGAGCCCACAAGGGTACTTACCCTATGAGTGGTGGGACTGGGGGTGATAGGGAGAATGTACCCTGTCTGAATGAGCAGCAGAACTGACTGATTATGGGAAAATACAGGACCCTTAGAACTGCTAATCTCTGAAGAGAAGCTGAAAATTAGGTCAGATTTTTAAGTATAAAATTCTTTTTCTTTTTTAGGTAGAGTCTCACTCTGTCACCCAGACTGGAGTGCAATGATGCCAACTCTGCTCACTACAACCTCCACCTCCTGGGTTCAAGTGATTCTCCTGCCCTAGCCTCCCTAGTACCTGGGACTACAGGCATGTGCCACCACACCTGCCTAATATTTGTATTTTTAGTAGACATGGGGTTTTACTGCGTTGGCCCGACTGGTCTCGAACCCCTGGTCCCAAGTGATCCACCTGCTTCGGCCTCCCAAAGTGCTGGGATTACAGGTGTGAGCCACTGCACCTGGCCTCTATGTGAAAAATTCTAATTTTTTTTTTTTTTTTTTTTTTTTTCCAGGTTTTTTTTTTTTTTTTTTTTTTTTTTTTTTTTTTGAGACAGAGTTTCGCTCTTGTTGCCCAGACTGGAGTGCAATGGCACAATCTCGGCTCACCGCAACCTCCGCCTCCTGGGTTCAGGCAATTCTCCTGCCTCAGCCTCCCGAGTAGCTGGGACTACAGGCACGCACCATCATGCCCAGCTAATTTTTGTATTTTTAGTAGAGACGGAGTTTCACCTTGTTGACCAGGATGGTCTCGATCTCTTGACCTCGTGATCCACCAGCCTCGGCCTCCCAAAGTGCTGGGATTATAGGCGTGAGCCACCGCGCCCAGCCTAAAAAATTCTAATTTTTTTAAGTTGATGCAACATTACCTAAAATGTGTCCCATAAACAAAGCCCTTCTGCAGCCACGCTTGAAAGCCAGGTATTTCTGGATCAGAGTCTTGGCTCAGTTACTTTGTCCTCAAGAAGCATTTTTGCCTCCCAGTTTCCATGTCAACAAAGCATCACCCCTTGGGGGCTGTATAATGATTAAGTGGTTTACAAACACTTCCTACAGGACATCTGGATAGCCACATGGAAAAGAGTAAAGATAGTCCCTGTCTTAGTCTGTTTTCTGTTGCTATAACAGAATATCACTGACCAGGTAATTTATGTTTTTTTGTTTTTTTTCTCAAGATGGAGTCTCACTCTGTCCACCAGGCTGGAGTGCAGTGGTGTGATTTTGGCCCACTGCAACCTCTGCCTTCTGGATTCAGTTGATTCTCTTGCCTCACCCTCCTGAGTAGCTGGGACTACATGTGCACACCACCACATTTAGCTAATTTTTGTATTTTTTAATAGAGACAGAGTTTCACCATGTTGGCCAGTCTGGTCTCAAACCCCTGGCCTCAAATGATACGCCCACCTCGGCCTCCCTAAGTGCTGGGATTACAGGCATGCAACACCATGCCAAGCTAATTTTGTACTTTTTGTAGAAACAGGGGTTTCTCCATGTTGATCAGGCTGGTCTCAAACTCCTGAACTCAGGTGATCTGCCTGCCTTGGCCTCCCAAAGTGCTGGGATTACAGGCGTGAGCCACCGTGCCCAGCCCACAAGTATCTTTATAAAAGGTATACAGAGGGAGATATGACTATAGAAGACATAAGGCAATATGATCACTGAAGCAGCATGCTACACTGCTGGCTTTGAAGATGAGCAAAGGGCCACAGGGCAAGCAATGGAATGTCTGTGGCTTTCTTAGCTGGAAAAGGCAAGGAAACAGATTCTATCCTAGAACCTCAGTGGGGAGGGTGGCTCTGCTCACACCTTGATTCCAGCCCCGATTTTTGACTTCTGACCTCCATAACAGAAAGAACAAATGTTGTTTTAAGCTACAAAATTTGTAGTGAATTGTTACAGCAGATGGAGATAACCAGATAAAACATTGGACCCTGAAGCTCTCCATTCTAGTTCTTGTCTGCTGTGATGGACAGCCTCCAAGATGCTCCCCAACCATCTTTGCCAATGATCTCCAGCCCTTGCGTAGTCCCCTCCAACACTGAGCAAGGCTGACTTGTTTAACTAGTAAGACACTGTGGAAGTGACAAAACTGTGAATTCTGAATCCAGGTCACGAAAAATGTTACGGTTTCTACCTTGCCCTCTCCTGGATCACCTGTTCTGTGGGAAACCAAATGCTATGTTGTAAGGATACCCAGCAGTTCCAAAGAGAGGCCTACATGGAGAACAACTGAGTTCTCCTATCAGCAGATATGTGAGTGAGCCATCCTGGAGGTGGATCCTCCAGCCTCAGTTAAGTCTCAGGTGACAACAGCTATGCTGACATCTTCACTATAACTTCTCGAGCCTGGACCAACACCACCAGCTAAGTCATTTCAGCACTCCTGTCAGAACCTGTGAGATATTTATTGTTGTTTCGGGTCACAAAGTTTTGAGTTACATGGCAACAGGTAACTAATACACTTTCTCTCAAGCCTTATGCTCATTCTGCGTCCCCCATCCACAGCAAGAACAAACTAAAACGTGGAAGCATTTCATGCAAATTTGGAGTAATACACATCGGAAAGCCTGCAATCTAAGATTATCAATAGTGTCCCTTTGTGTACCAAATATGAAATAGTGCAACTCCCCATAAACAAACCAACGACAAAAAAAAAAAAAGTATATAATTTCAAAGTTGCAGAGCTTGAGCAAGTATGAATTATTGTTGTTTCCTGCCACGCGAGGCGGCACTTTATGGAAAACAGAGGCAGCAGCAGTCACTTTGTCTAGAAGTGCTGGAGCTTTGATGGCCAGATGGCCCTGCAAACACTGACCGCCCTGGACTGCGGTTCTCCCACAGTCTCCCAGGGGACGACCCTGGTAGTCGCTCTCGTCACACTCAGTGCGTGGTGACCCCTCGTTGTCCCCAAGAGGTTGTGCCCAAGCCCCAGGGCAAGGGCTTCGCGGTGCTGGGGTCCCGGTGGGTGTGCGCTGACTCCACGCGTCGAAGCATCCCTATTTGAGGATGCTTGCCACCTGGGCACCCAGCCAATGCTACAAGTACTGTTATCCGTCAACAAGAGGACAGCCCTTCCGGGAACGCGTAAGGGTTTCGACGGGGCGGCGCCGCACGCGGGAGCGGGACCTGCCGGATTCCCTCGGGAATGGCCGACCCCAGCCCCGGGGAGGACGGGGCCGCCGCGGAGCATGCGCACTCGGTTGGAACCCCGGCCCCCTCTCGGACCAGCCAGGCCGTCACCACGCCCCGACTCGTGCCTCAGTTTCCCCACGTGTCAAAGGCATAACGGCGGTGCCGCCCTCATCGTGCCGCGAAGTGAAAGAGTCAGTCTCCAAGGGAGACGCTTGCCCGGAGCCCGCGGCCGTCGTTACTGTTGTTATTGTTACCTGAAGCCGGGCCGCCGGCGGCCCCACACACATCACCGCCGCTGCCGCTTCGTCCTCAGGGTCCATCCTGGATCGACCAGTGTAGAATGGCGCCTGAGGTGATCCCCAGACCACAGGACCACTACAGCCAAAGGGACCACCCGACTCGCCGAACGCTGGACAATGGCGGCCGCACCGGCGACGCGGCGACTACAACTCCCAGGAGGCCGTGCAGCGGGCCGCAGCTCTCGGCCAATGGGAGTCTCCGCCGGCTGGGCCTTTGACCAATGGAAGCATTCTGGCCGCTAGCCAATGGGAGCCTCCACCCGATGGCCTCTGGCCAATGGGAGCGCTTAGCTGGGGCTGATGGGAGATGTGGTTGCTCCCCGCTGCGCTGCCCGCTATGGGGCGGGCAACCAGAATCCTCAGTCGTGGGGCAGGGAGCGGGGCAGGGAGCGGGGCTGGGCTCCGAGAAGGTGGGGATCGTCCGCCCCTCCTGATGCTGGGGCCTTGCCCGTCTGCGTGGGCCGGGCCTGCTCTTTCCGGGAAGTTGCGCTGGAGGAACCCCGGGGCTGTTCCGCTTTACCCTCTGCTCCCCAGTGCCTAAAACGCACACGCTTGAAAGTCTCAGGAAGACTTAGGGGTTTGTTAATATAATAGACTTTGGCGGTAGCGGCTGGAAGGGGGCTTGAGGCTGGGAGCGCTGGTCCTCCTACATGAAAGGAGCCCCGATTCAGACCCAAGGGAGGGCTCTTGGATCCTGCCCAAGAAAGAATTCAGGGCGAGTTTGCAGTGCAAAGTAAAAGCAAGTTTATTAAGAAAGTAAAGTTGGTTCCTTCTGAGGGACAGTGTATGTTCCATTCCCTTTCCTTAGCTTTTGCTGGCAATCTCTGGCATTCCTTGGCTTGTATATCTCTCTGTCTTCACGTGGCATTTTCCCTGTGTGTGTGACAAGTAGTCTGTCTCCAAATTTCTGTTTTTATAAGGACAACAGTCATATTGGACCAGGGGTCACCCTAATGACCTCATTTAAGGTCTGAGGTACTATGGGTTAGAACTTAAACATATCATTTTAGGGAGACACAGCTTAACCTATACATTAACATATAATGGGTTTATTTTGAAAAATTATCTTACCGGGTGAGGTGGCTCACGCCTGTAATTCCAACACTTTGGGAGGCCGAGGCGGGCAGCTCATGATGTCAAGAGATTGAGACTATCCTGGCCAACATGGTGAAACCCCGTCTCTACTAAAATTACAAAAATTAGCTGGGTGTGGTGGTGGGCGCCTGTAGTCTCAGCTACTCCAGCCGGGGCAACAGAGCAAGACTCTGTCTCAAATAATAATAATAATAATAATAAATTAAATTTTTTCTCAGTTTTAATGCCTGTTACAGCAAATATTGATAGGACCTACATAAACAAATACTGAGTAGGGTCTTCAGTGACTTTTAAGAGTGTGAATGGGTCTTGAAACAAAAAACTTGAAACATACTTGGCTATAGAATAGGCTTTTGTTAAATAGGCCTGCCAAAGTGCTAAGATCCACTTGATTAAAAAAACGCCTAAATCCAGTTGTTGAGATGGAGTCTCACTCTGTCACCCAAGCTGGAATGCAATGGTACATTCTCGGCTCACTGCAACCTCCATCTCCTGGGTTCAAGTGATTCTACTCCCTCAGCCTCCTAAGTTGCTGGGATTTACAGGCACCCCTCACCATGCCTGGCTAATTTTTTTTATTTTCAGTAGAGACAGATTTTTGGCCTGTTGGCCAGGTGAACTCCTGACCTCAGGTGATCCACCCCCACCCCCTAGCCTCCCAAAGTGCTGGGATTACAGGCATGGGCCACCACGCCCTGCTGTAGCTTTAAGCAAGCTTTGATATTTTGTATTCATGTTGGTCATTTGATATAGAGTACTTATTTTTACTTAAACAAATTTAGTTTTTAAAATTTCTTCTTTGATCAAATAGCTGTTTCAAAATATATTCTAAAATATCCACAATTATTAATTAGTAATTTTGTTGTGCTATTAAAGAATATGATAATAGGCCGGGCGCGGTGGCTCACGCCTGTAATCCCAGCACTTTGGGAGGCCGAGGCGGGTGGATCACGAGGTCAAGAGATCAAGACCATCCTGGTCAACATGGTGAAACCCCGTCTCTACTAAAACTACAAAAAATTAGCTGGGCATGGTGGCGCGTGCCTGTAATCCCAGCTACTCAGGAGGCTGAGGCAGGAGAATTGCCTGAACCCAGGAGGCGGAGGTTGCGGTGAGCCGAGATCGCGCCATTGCACTCCAGCCTGGGTAACAAGAGCGAAACTCCTACCAAAAAAAAAAAAAAAAAAAAAGAATATGATAATATAAATTTCTACTTTTTTGGTTTTTTTTCTTTTGAGATGGAATTTTGCTCTTGTTGCCCAGGGTGGAGTGCAATGGCGAGAGATCTTGGCTCACCATAACCTCCACCTCCCGGGTTTAAGCGATTCTCCTGCCTCAGCATCCCAAGTAGCTGGGATTACAATCCCCTGCCACCACACCCAGCTAACTTTGTATTTTTAGTAGCTACAGGGATTCTCCATGTTGTTCAGGCTGGTCTCTAATTCCTGACCTCAGGTGATCTGCCTGCCTCGGCCTCCCAAAGTGCTAAGATCCACTTGATTAAAAAAACGCCTAAATCCAGTCCCAAAACATCAGCCTAATGGCTAATGTCAGCATAACCAGAAACATTCCAACCCTGAATTTCGAGTCCAACCCTCAGACACTGACCCAGTGACAGATGAACAAATGCATTCAAACACAGATATCCAGTGGAACAGTAGGGTTGCTCTTCTCAAGGAGTATCTTACTGGTGTTCTCTGTATTTCCTGAATTTGAATGTTGGCCTGTCTTGCTAGGTTGGGGAAGTTCTTATGGATAATGTGGGTCCTGATGGCCAGGGGGAGACCTATGTTAATTCTGTCTAAATCATAATCTTGCTTGGCTCAGAGTACTCTGAATTTTATACACCGAACTAAATTATATTATTGGTGCAGTTAATTAGAAATCAAGCGGCAACAGGAGGCCTAAAGACCATCCGAGAGTGCAGTAACACTGGGGAACACCTTGAGGTGGTTGCAGAGCAGGAAATACTGCTGTGGTCCCACGAATGCCTTCTCAACATGGAGACTCTATGAGGGCCTTGTAAAGAGGGCTTATGCAAAGATCTCTGAGAAGGGAGGCGAGCTCTGCTCACAAGATCCAGGAGGGTGTTTGCAGATGGGAGCTGGCGAGGAGGAGAAAAGCCTTGCAGGGCAGAGATCATGGAACACCTCAAGCTCTCCCTAAATTCTGCGAATATGTCATGATTTTAATTGCTCTAAATCCTCAATGCTCAGGAGATAAAAGCCTGTTGATGTATCAGGTGTGGTCAGACCTTGTGGCTCCTAATCCACTATGCTTCTGATGCACCCTGATAATAATCAGTGATAAACTCAGAGTACTAGTTAGCGTGTCTTAGAAGGGTCTCAAGTGCTGTTAAATGCTCAGAGCACTAGTTTAGCTTATCTTAGAAGGATCTCAAGAGCTCTCTGCACAGCTACCTTACCCACTCCTCTACCCTTCCCCTCCACACCCATAAGATCAATGAGATTATGCACATAATAAAAGTGTTTGGAGCCCAGCGCTCCGGGCCAACTTGGCTCCCATGAAATTCTACTCTTGTGTCTGTATTTCCTTTTCTCAATCCCTTGTCGGGACTAAGGGCACCCACGTACGGGGTTGGGGCTGGTACCCAACAGATAACATCCTGAAGTGTGTTTTCCAACTTGGTTCCATTCTCCCTGTCACTTTTAGGTTTGCCAATCAATCATAGGTTTGGTCTTGGGGATTCTAGGAAGCCAAGGAACCTTCCTGCCCTGCCTGCTGAAATCAACTCAAATTGGCCAAATAGACAAGTCTGACATCTTTTCTCTTTGCACTTGCATTTTTTCTTTTTAGAAGGAGTCTCACTCTGTCACCCGGGCTGGAGTGCAGTGACATGATCTCAGCTCACTGCTACCTGCATCTCCCCAGTTCAAACAATTCTCCTGCTCAGCCTCCCAAATAGGTGGGATTACAAGTGCCCGCCACCACGCCTGGCTAATTTTTGTATTTTTAGTAGAGAGAGGGTTTCACCCTGTTGGCCAGGCTAGTCTCAAACTCCTAACCTAGAGTGATCCACTCACCTCAGTCTCCAAAGTGTTGGGATTACAGGCGTGAGCCAACACGCCCAGCCCTGCCATCTGCTGTTAATTGTGGTGTTCTCAATTTTCTATGATGCATGGGTCTTATTAATTCTGATAATACTTGGCATTACCTGAAAATTTCCTTTCAACCCCGGGGAAGTTTCCCTTTTTCTTTTTCTAACTTATTTGTTCAACAATCTCACTTGTAATGTCAGAGTCTGTTCTTGTTCTCATTGTTCTATTTTCTCAAAGTATCTGTCTTATTTGTTATTTGTAACCCCTTCTTGACTCACTTTTATGTTAACAAAATGCATTAACTATTTGGTTCCGCCGGGTGCAGTCACTCATGCCTGTAATCCCAGCACTTTGGGAGGCCAAGGTGGGCAGAACCTGGGAGGGGGAGGTTGCAGTGAGCCAAGATTGTGCCAGTGCACTCTAGTCTGGGCAACAGAGTGAAACTGTCTCAAAAAAAATTTTTTTTTGTTCCTCTGAATATCTGTTTTATTCTGCTTTGTCTTAGATTCTTTCTTTCTCGATGGAGGCTTTTCTTTTTTGAGATGGAGTCTTGCTCTGTTGCTAGGCTGGAGTGCCGTGGCTCAATCTCAGCTCACTGCAATCTCCGCCTCCTGTGTTCAAGTGAATCTCCTCCCTCAGCCTCCTAAGTAGCTGGGATTACAAGTGTGTACCACCACATCCAGCTAATTTTTGCATTTTTAGTAGAGACAGGGTTTTACCATGTTGGCCTTAATCTCCTAACCTCATAATCTGCCCACCTCGGCAGCCCAAAGTGTTGGGATTACAGGCGGGAGCCATCGCACCCAGCCAGCTTTCTTTATTTTTTGCTCCTTGCCTCCCACCCATATTGAAGAGACTATCAGAAAGCAAATGGGAATTTCCACAGACAAGTGGGGCTGCTTTAACAGTATGGTTTGCTGTAGGGTGAAGTGGGCAGGAACAAGCTATCAGGTAAAAAGCTCTGAAATGCCAGAATAAAGCAGCCCTTGCTGCAGAGCAAAACACGTCAGATTCCCTAGTCCCCTGAACTATCTTTTAGCATGTGACTCCTTCCCTACTTAGTTTTTGCTGACCTACAGCCAGATACTATTGCCAGGCAGGAAAAAAAAAGGGGGGAGTCCGAGTTTGATGGGCAGATCTTCAATTAACCCACTTTCCTGTCAGTCTATGGCTCTGCTGGGGGCTGCCACATCTGCTTCCACCCCTTCTCCTCACCTGTCCCTCTCCAGCCTCCCTCATTCCGTATCTTTGGCTATGCTTCCATCTGCTCTTTTTTTTTTTTTGAGACAGAATCTGGATTTTTTTGCCCAGGCTGGAGTGCAGTAGCACAGTGTCAGCTCACAGCAACCTCCACCTCCTGGGTTCAAGTAATTTTCCTGCCTCATCCTCCCATGTAGCTAGGATTATGGGCACATGCCACCACACCCAGATAATTTTTTGTATTTTTAGTAGAGATGGGGTTTCACCATGTTGGCCACGCTGGCCTTGAACTCCGGACCTCAAGTGATGTGCCCATCTCAGCATCCCAAAGTGCTGGGATTACAGGCATAAACCACTGTGCCTGGCCTCCCATGTACTCTTATCCTGCTTAATTGTGCAGTAATAGCCATACACCGTAGACTTTGGAAGGCCGAGCTTAGAGGATCACTTGAGTCCAGGAGTTCAAGACCAGGCTGGGCAACATGGTGAGAGCCTGTCTCTAAAAAAAAATAAAACTAGCTAAGCTTCATGGCACATGCCTGTGGTCCCAGCTACTGAGGAGGCGAGGACAGGAGGATCACTTGAGCCAGGTTGAGGCTGCAGTGAGCCATAATTGTGTCACTGCATTCTAACCTGGGAGACAGAGCAACAGTCTGTGTAAAAAAATAAAAGTAAATGTGGGCTGGGCGCAGTGGCTCACGCCTGTAATCCCAGCACTTTGGGAGGCCAAGACGGGCGGATCACAAGGTCAAGAGATAGAGACCATCCTGGCCAACATAGTGAAACCCCGTCTCTACTAAAAATACAGAAAAATTAGCTGGGCATGGTGGCACACGCCTGTAGTCCCAGCTACTCAGGAGGCTGAGGCAGGTGAATTGCTTGAACGCGGGAGGCGGAGGTTGCAGGGAGCCGAGACTGCGCCACTGCACTCCAGCCTGGCGCCTGTCGACAGAGCGAGACTCTGTCTCAAACAAACAAAAAAAGTAAATGTGCAGACATGGGCTCTTTCACTCTCCTCACTGCTGTCAATTACACTTTCTTTCTTCTAGGACACATGTTGCTGAGTGGACCAACCTAAATTACATGCTTGTAATCTTCTGTGAACATACTATTTGGACTCCTGTTTTCATATCACCTGTTAAATACTTTCTATATTAATACGCTACCAGTTCTGATTACAAACCAACTGAGCAACAAAGTTAAAGCATAACGGAATCCCTGAAATATTCAGAATCCATTTTTTTGTTTGTTTTGTTTTAGAGATAGGGTGTTGCTCTGCTGCCTAGGCTGGAGTGTAGTCATGTGATCTCAGCTCACTGCAGGTGCAACTCCTCCAGGCTCAAGCAGTATTTCTGCCTCAGCCTTCTGAGTAGCTGGGACTACTGGTATGAAGCACCATGCCCAGTTAACTGTATTTTTTTGTACAGATGGGATCTCAACATGTTGCCTGGCCTAGTGTCAAACTACTAGACTTAAGTGATCTGCCTGCTTTGATCTCCCAAAGTGCTGGGATTACAAGCTTGGGCCATTACCGCCAGCTCAGAGTCCTTTTTTTTTTTTTTTTGAGACAGAGTCACTCTGTTTCCCAAGCTAGAGTGCATGATCTCGGCTCATTGCAACCTCCCCCTCCCAGGTTCAAGCGATTCTCATGCCTCAGCCTCCTGAATAGCTGGGATTACATGCATGTGCAACCATACCTGGCTAATTTTTGTATTTTTAGTAGAGACAGAGTTTTACCATGTTGGCTAGGCTGGTCTTGAACTCCTGTCCTGAAGCGATCCGCCCATCTCAGCCTCCCAAAGATTACAGGCATAGGCCACCATCCCTGGCCAGAGTCCATTTTTTTAATTGCAAAAATAAAACCATTTTGGAATAGTTCCCAGGCTCGGGCTCCTTTGGTTTAACTGCTGATATACATCAAAGATGGCTGGCTTTATATTTCATCACTCAACATCAACTTCCTCATACAACTGTTTAAATTTGAGTGTTCAGGGCTCTAAATCAAGAGTATCTCCCACTCCACCATCATTTCCAGGAATGCGTTATGGGGACAATATCTGATTATGCTTGGGTAGTTGTTTGCACCAGAAAGATGAGCCAAAGAGTACGGCTCCATCCTGAGTTTCCTAATTCCTGCTAACAGCTCTGATTGCAAGCTTTTCTTCGGTGGTCATAGCCATGGCTTCTCACCTAAACGCAACAGTATAGACACATTTTTATGTGCACACAAATCACCTGTGTGATTTTTTTGAGATGGAGTCCCAGTCTGTCACTCAGGCTGGAGTGCAGTGCTGCAATCTCGGCTTACTGAAACCTCCACCTCCCAGGTTCAAATGATTCTACTGCCTCAGCTTCCTGAGTAGCTGGAACTACAGGTGCAAGCCACCACAGCTGGCTAACTTTTTTTGTACTTTTAATAGAGACACTTTTGCTATGTTGGCCAGGCTGGTCTCAAACTCCTGACTTGGGGAGATCCACTCATCTCAGCTTCCCAAAGTGCAGGGATTATAGGAATGAGTCACTGTGCCCAGCCACCTGCTTGATTTTAGAAACTGCACACTCTTGAATTTTACTGCCAGATACTTTTATTTATTTGGCTAGAGTGAGCTTGGGAATACACAGTTTCAGTGCTCACTCTAGGCAATTCTTTTTTTTTTTTTTTTAATTTGTACCTGTACATCTCAAGAAAAGGCAATTCTGATACACATGGTCATGAAGCCCTACTCTGAGAGTCATGTTCTGGCCACCTGATTTCTAGTAAAGAGGGTCTGGCAGGAAAATTTCCCATCTTGGTTATTATCTATTATCACTCTCTCATAGGCAGCAGTGCAGTGGCATGATCACAGCTCACTGCAACCTCCACTTCTGGAGCTCAAGTGATCCTCCCACCTCAGCTTTCTGAGTACCTGGGACTACAGGTATGCACCACCACGCTTGGCTAATTTTTGTATTTTTTGTAGAGACAGGATTTTGCCATGTTACCCAGGCTGGTCTCAAACACCTAGGCTCAAGCAATCCACCAGGCTCAGCCTCCCAAAGTGCTTGGATTACAGGTGTTGGCCACTGAGTCTGGCCCTGTCTTGGTTATTTACAGGGTTTCTCACCTGTGAGCTTTATCATATTGAATAAGGGAAGTATTATAACTGGAAAGTTTTCCACATTTGTTACATTCATAGGGCTTCTCTCCAGTATGAATTCTCTGATGCCTAGTAAGTTGACACCGCTGGCTAAAGGCTTTCTCACAGTGCTCACATTCATAGGGTTTATCTCCAGTGTGTGTCCTCTCGTGTTTAGTAAGGGTTGAGCGATCATTGAACGCTTTCCCACAATCAATGCATTCATAGGGCTTTTCTCCAGTATGCGTTCTCTGATGTTCAATAAGTCGCGACCGCTGGCTGAAGGCCTTAATACACATGTCACACTGATAGGGCTTCTCACCGACATGCGTCCTCTGGTGCACAATGAGGGGAGACCTCTGGCTGAAAGCTTTTCCACAATGACTGCATTCATTAGGTTTCTCTCCAGTGTGTGTCCGCTGATGCACAACAAGCTGAGATTGCTGCCGAAAGGATTTCCCACAGTCACTACATTTGTAGGGTTTCTCTCCAGAATGAATTCTCTGATGGGAAAGAAGGTGAGAGCTCCCTGTGAAGGCTTTCCCACACTGACTGCATTCAAAAGGTTTCTCTCCAGTGTGAGTTCTCTGATGCTCCACAAGGTGGGAGCTCCCAGTAAAGGCTTTATCACACTGATTGCATTTGTATGGCTTCTCCCCAGTATGAATTCGCAGATGCCTGATGAGCTGAGTGCTTCGAATGAAGGCTTTTTCACACCAGTTACATTCATAGGGCTTTTCTCCAGTGTGAGTTCTTTTATGAGCAACAAAGTCAGAGCTTTGGCTGAAGGACCTTCCACAGTGAGTACACTTGTACGGTTTCTCTCCAGTATGAATTCTCTGATGTACAATGAGGTTAGAGTTCCACCTGAAGGATTTTCCACATTCAATACAATGATACGGTTTTTCTCCAGTGTGAATTCGCTGATGCCTAATAAGTTTGGAACTCTGGGTAAAGGATTTCCCACACAGGCTGCACTCATGGGGTTTCTCTCCTGTGTGTGTCCTCTGATGTATAACGAGGTCATAGCTTTGGCTAAAAGATTTCTCACACTGTGTACATTCAAAGGGCTTTTCTCCAGTGTGTGTTCTCTGGTGTACAATGAGCTTAGAACAACAGCTGAAAGACTTTCCACACTGATTACACATAAATGGCTTCTCTGCAGTCTCAACGATGTTACAGTCAGAAAAAGATGAGGCCAAGGGGAAGGCAGCACAGCCTTCCTCACATCTGAAGGGGGACTCTCCAGGGTCACTTACTTCTGTTTGTACAAGGCACAGACTCTCAGAACAGGCTTCCCTGCACTCATCACATTCATACTCACTTTTTCCAAAATGCACTGGCTTGTGTTCATTCAGAGACACACTGTGACAGAAGGGGTTTCCACAATCCTTACAGTTATTACTTTTCTTTACTGAAAAAATTCTACCATGAAAACAAAGGGAGGAATCATAGTTGAGAGAGTCACTACTGACAATATATTCATAAGGGTTTTTATTTCCTGTTTCAATGTTTGCAAGTTTACTCAAGTAAATGCTCCGACAGAAGGCTCTAGCACGCTGATGATTTTCACAGTGCTTCCAATCTACTCCATTTCTCTCATGATTAATGAAAACTGAATTTCTTTTCAACTGTTTAACCTGTGAGTTGGGCTTATGGAAACCTGTACTTGTAGGTAATGTTGTAGGTAGAAGGCTTAAAGCAGAAGGTAGAGAATAACTTCCCCCACGTTCAAGCTCACAATGTTTCCTTTGAGCAAACAGTCTCTTTGAGGTGAGTACCGTCAACCTCAAGGAGTTCTCCTGGTGTTCCCTTAACTGGTTGCTCTGATCTTGCACTTTTCCTAATGACACCAAACAGGGTGGCTCCTCCTGTACACATTGTTTCACTTCCACATGGTGGGAGAGTTCATCCCACACTCGATCTTTTTCAGAATTCAACCTATTCTTTTCAAGGGTAGCCTTCCAGTCTGAAAGAAATCCAAAATGCCTGAGTTACTGGAAAAGCATCAGAGAAGGAGGGATAGATGAAGGAGACAGCTGTTGTGAGGGAGATGTCTCTGGTCTGTTTTCAAACAACAAACTGTAACCTGTATGCGGGAGTGAAATGGCATGATCTCGGCCTCAGCTTCCTGAGTAGCTGGGAATACAGGCACCTGGCACAACGCCCAGCAACTATGATCAGCAAACATGGTATCAGTGGTAAACTGCAAAATACAAGCAAACATAATAAAGTGACTAAGTAGCAGTGGTCCTCAAATAAAGGGCAGAAGAATAAGAATAAGGAAGGCGGGGCCAGGCGCAGTGGCTCACGCCTGTAATCCCAGCACATTGGGAGGCTGAGGCAGGTGGATCACCTTAAGTCAGGAGTTCGAGACCAGCCTGGTCAACATGGTGAAACCCTGTCTCTATTAAAAATAAAAAAATTAGGTGGGCATGGTGGCAGGCACCTGTAGTCCCAGCTTCTCAGGAGGCTGAGGCAGGAGAATCACTTGAGCCTAGAAGGTAGAGGTTGCAGTGAACTGAGATTGGGCCGCTGCATTCCAATCTGGGCGAGAGAGTGAGGCCGTGTCTAAAAAAAAAAAAAAAAAAAAACAATAGGGAGGTAAAGACAAAAGGAGAAATCCACAGAATGAACTGGGTCTGCGGGGTATAAAGCCCTTAACCACTGCAAAATATATGTATGTATAAGCCCCTGTACCCTGTGAATGTAACCTTTTGGGAAAATGGGACTGTCCAGATGTGATTAGGAATTTATTATTATTGTTATTTACTTAGCTAACTTTCTAGAGTCAGGGTCTTGCTCTGTTGAACAGGATAGCAATGGCACAATCATAGCTCACTGCAGCCTTGAACTTCTGATTACAACTGATATTACCCTTCTGTGATTAGAATTTTTATGTATTGTATGGTACTGTATTTATTTTTGAGACAGAGTCTGGGTCAGTTGCCCACGCTGCAGTGAAATAGCACAATCTCGACTAAATGCAATCTCCACCTCCCAGGTTCAAGCGATTCTCCTGCCTCAGCTTCTTGAGTAGCTGGGAATACAGGCACCTGGCACCACGCCCATCTAAAATTTTTTAAATGGGGATTTTTTTCTGGATTATCTGGGGGGCTGTAAATGCAATCACAAGTGTTCCTATAAGAGAAAGGCAGAGAGAGATTTGAAACACAGAGAAGAAGGTGAGAGGACAGAGCAGAAGACATCTGAAGACTGCAAAAATGTGGCCTCAGCCATGGAATGTTGCAACCAACAGGAGAAGGAAGAGGCAGAAATGGGTTTTCCATTTGGAGCATCGAGAAGGAGCAGAGCCCTAGGGCACAGCACTATTGACAAATTGATTTCAATCCAGCGACACTGATTTTGGACTTGTGGCCACCAAAACTTTTAGAGAATAAGTTTGCATTGTTTTAAGCCACCAGTCGGTGGTAAATTTTTACAGCAGCCACAGAAAACAAAAACAGACTACTAACTGGTTCTTAGTCCTAGAATATCAGTTTCTGCTCCACTTCTCATCTCATAATTCCATCTCAAACATAAACCCTGACTTCATATTCTTAATGCACCAATTCTTCCATTTCTTCAGGTTGCAAACAGAGAAAAATGATTTAACCATTCCAGAATTGGCCCAATAGACTCTCCAGAAAAGACTACATGGTCTCTGAAGCAGCATGGTCAGCATGACTGGCTCCAACTGGGCTCCATTTGCCACTTCAGCCAGGTCCATTTTCCTTAGAGGTTCATTTTCCTTGCTGTAGCCAGGAGTAAGAATATTTATCCTACAAGGATTATTTTGAGGCATCAGTGAATCACTGTGTGAGCCTCACACAGTGTCTGGCACCAACATTACAAATTATAGTTGATCTTGCCATTCTTGTTATTGTCCTGGTGAGGATTCTTCTCTGTTGAAGACATGAAGCCTCTAAAAACAAGTGGCAGAGGCTCCCAGCTCAGGATGCTTGTCCAGGTCCTAAAGATTCCCCCTCTGCTTCTCACTCTGCTCGTTATGGTTGCATGGCCACCAGGGCCAACACTACTGAGGCCTATCTTAAGTTCCCATACCTCACTCTTTGAGCACATGAGGATACAAGAATCCCTCGACAACTCAATAACTACACTCTGTGGCCATCCCTTGACTTCTGAGGGAATGTTTCCCTCCTGTCAATTAAAAGCTCTCTTCCCTCTGGGGCAAGACCTTTATATGCACCTAGCACCCCCACACTCAAGAGCCCTCACACCCAGCACCTTCACACCTGGCACCTTCATACCTGGCATCTTCACATCCAGCACCCTCACATCTGACACCCTCACACCCAGCACTCTCACACCTAGTGCTGTCCTCATCCCAACTCTGTGGTTCCTCTGGGGAGTCACCATGGAATCCCTGATGGGAGAATGTTTTCAAAAGAAACAATAGCCCAATGAAGGGTATTTGAGGATGAGAAGCAGGAAAGAAGTCCTTGGTGGCTGAGATGCATTCAGATTTTGCCTGGCCATTGAAAATCAGGTGAAGGACATTAAATATCCTGCAGTGGCAGCACCATTAGGAGCATGAAATGAGAAAAGGGGCTGTCCTCACATACCAGCCAGGAGGGGTGTCTATGCCAAACAGAAGACTGATAGTAAACAGAATTCAGAATGACATTACTGAGGCACGGTGTCAGGGCGTGGCCCAGGGAAGACGGTAGATAAATAAGCATGGGTGCCCTTCAGAGGAAGAAAATAGAGGTTGCAGGCAAGAGAGTTACAAGGAAGGAGGAACAGGAAGACATGAGACAAATTCAGATAAACTCAACATCTCCATCCTGGGGGAAACATGAGAGGGTGGTGTGAAGATATACATGATGTATGTTGCTTAGTGAAAGCAGCCAGTCAGAAAAGGCTGCATAGTAAATGACCCCAACTATGGCATTCTGAAAAAGGCAAAACTATGGAGACAGGATGAAGATCAGCGGCTGCCAGTGAAGAAGGGGAATAAGGTCTGGAGGCAGGGAGCCTAAGTCCGATTCATGCTGACTTCCTAGAACTGAATCAGAAGGAAAACCTGAAATTTCCATGTCCACCTAACAAAAGGTTCAGAGGCTACTCCCTTTGCAACACCCCCCTGCCAACCTTTCTGTTACAGATGAAAAACGGAAAGTATCTCTGATTGGTCTCCTCCTGCAACCAATCAGGCATTTGCATGGGGCATAACTTTGTAACTTCACTTCAGCCTCTGCTTGGTCACCTTCAGCAATCAATCAGACTGGTCACAGGCCACTACTTCAAAGGGTGTAAACCAAGAAACAAATGGGAAACATCCAGAGGGTATTTAAACCCCAGAAAATTCTGTAACCAGTGCTTCTGAGCCTTGCTTGAGCCTACTCCCACTCTGTGAAGTGTGTTTTTGTTTCAATACATCTATGCTTTTGTTGCTTCATTCTTTTGTTGTTTTGTGTGTTTTGTCCAATACTTTGTTCAAAATGCGAAGAACCTAGACACCCTCCACTGGCAACATATCTTCCTGAGCCAGCCAGGAGGTAAGCCCAAAGTTTGGGATTTTTCTTCTCTTTTCGTTTTCTGTTTTCCATATAGGGGAACCCTTTTCTCTCTCTTTTTCCCTTTCCAACTTACGGACCCTTGGTGGACAGCACCTAAGCATGGAAGCAACTCTTAAGTTTCTGGCTGGGGCCACTCTCTGGTGAAAATGAAAGACTTCTGTGTGGAAGTGCCTGACTACCATCACCCAGTTCCGGTGAAAGACCTGAGTCCTTTTCCCTTTTTTCTTTATCAGTCTTTCAGCTGCAGTGTCCTAGTAGCTCCCTGGTAACTGCAGGCACCTGCCCAGGGCCACCCTCCGATGTTGCTTCAAAGCCAAGGTGTAAATGGGGATAGCTACCCTGCCCAGAAGGAGAAAAGACTCTTCTGTCTTTTCTGGTTATAGTCCCTGATCCCTATCTGTGATGCAATTGGCAGCGGCAGCTCACCTGGGTGAACTCACGCAAGTTTCAGGTGACTTAAACCCTCTTTTTATATGTGAAATTCTCCCATAGGATTAGCCTGTAAGGGAAACAGATAATGTCTCTTAGGCATTTTAACTTACCTTCTCATGCTCCATTTATTTGACTTCCTGAGGACCTTCGGGATCCACAAGCTTTAGTAGACATTCTACATCTTGGACCTCCACTGAGGGGATCCCATAGCTTCATGGTCATTGCTTCAGCATCAATTTGCTTGCCCTGAACCCCGTAGAAATTCTCAACCCTAGCCAGGCGTGGTGGCTCACGATTGCAATCCCTGCCCTTTGGGGAGCAAAGGCAGGTGGATTTTCTGAGGTCAGGAGTTCGAGACCAGCCTGGCCAACATGATGAAACCCTGTCTCTACAAAAAAAAAAAAAATTAGCTGGGCGTGGTAGTGTATGCCTGTAATCCAGCTACTCAGGAAGCTGAGGCAGGAGAATTGCTTGAACCTGGGAGATGGTGGTTGCAGGGAGCTAAGACTGCACCACTGCACTCCAGCCTGGCAACGAAGCGAGACTCCATCATACACACACACACATACACACAAAATGATGCCTCAAGATAGGTTTATGGATTTTTACAGACGTACAATATAGCATAATGGTAACAGCAGGAGAAACCGCATGTGTGTGCATAGTAGAGCAGACGTGGGAACTTTCTGTACTTTCTCCTCAACTTACCTATAAACCCAAAACTGCTCTAAAAAATGAAGTCTATTAGCTTGGGCAACATGGTGAAACTCCATTAATTACAAAAATTAGCCAGGTGTGGTGGCCTGCACCTGTAGTCCAAGCTACTCGGGAGGCTGAGGCACAAGAATTGTTTGAGCCAGGGAGGTGGGGGCTACAGCGAACCAAGATGTGCCACGGCACTCCAGGCTGGGTAGCAGAGTGAAACCCTGTCTCAAAAAATATATATAATGAGCCGGGCGC